TATATATATATATATAATGTGGGTAACAGTAGTTTCCAATTTGCAAGCTGTGAAGTGTCATTTGCTTGCAAAGGTAGACTTTTTAAAAAGCATCGAACCAATGAAAATAAAAAGTAAATATTTACAAATTTTTCGGTTCTTTTGATGCAAATACCGAAAGGGACACATGATTTTATTTGTTTATTAATTCATTTATATTTATTCTATTCGTAAAAGGCATTCAAAAAGGCCAACTTTCCATTTGAAAGGTTTCTTAGTCAAGAAAATCATTTCATAAAGTTGCAAATGTAAATGTGCTAACCCTTTTCTATTATCATGCTAATCATCTTATTTAGATAAATTTATTTATGATTCTAGATATATTTAATCCTAAACATATAAATTATCAGATTATTATTAGGTATAACTGATATTATTATATATTCAGAAAATATTGTAAAAACAATTATGCTATTGTCTTTGATTTAGCATTGAACACATTAATTATATGGGATAATTCCATTTAAAACCCTGTACTTTTCTCTCGTCTCAATTTAAACCATGTACTTTTTTTTTATCCAAAAAAATATTGTACTTTTAAAAATTAGCAATTAAAACTCTATATTTTTAAAAATTGGCAAATAAAACCCTGAACGAAAAACAATATTATTTAATGCTGACATGGCATCCTAGTCATCTGCCACATCATCAATCCCTAATATTTAATAATATTAATTAATAAAAAATAAAAATAAAATAATAAAAATAAAATAATAAAAATAAAAATAAAATTTTAAAAATTATATATATTCATAAAAATTATACACATATATAAACATGTTTATAAAAATTTTAAAATTATATACATATATAAATATATTTATATATACATATATATTATATATATATATATATATATATATATTAGTTATAATTATGCTTTTATTTTAATATGTATATTAGTTGTATATGTATATGTTGTATGTATAACTAATATATATATGTACATGTTATTTTTAATATATATTATATGTATATATGTTAGTTATTATTATTTTTATTTTAATATGTATATTATGTATACATATAATTAATAATAATTACTTTTATTTTAATATATATATATATATGTATTAGTTATAATATATATGTATATATGTTGTAGTTATGTGTATATGCGCTTTAATAATTATAAATAATTTCATTTTTAATATATATATATATATATGTGAATTTATATGAATATATATTAATTTAAATAAATTATTTAATTTAAATTTTATTTAAAATGATAATGTGACATAATTATGATGATATGTGTATGATTTGGAAGCCATATCTTTGTCATATCATCATTTTGTTTGAATTGCCAGACGTGGAGGGTTTTCGGTAAATTTTTAAAAAATTTGGGATTTTATGGGTTAATCACACTAAATATAGGATTTAATTGGTAAGAAAAAAATATAAGATTTTTTCGATATCTTTTTAAAAGAGTATATAGTGGTTTTTGGCGATTTCTCCCTTTTTTTTAAATCATTTTTAATTATTTGTATATCTAATCCGATACGATTGACTTCTTTTAATTTAAAAAATTACGTCGAATAAGGTTAAGTATATTTCTAAACTTTTTAGATGTAAAGTTAAATATTTGGAATCTTAAAAAAATAGAATGGCCATCTCCGATTTTTATTTGTATAACTTTTGATGTATGTATGCATGCATGTATGCATGCATGTATGTATGTATATACATGCATGCATCGTATGTATGTATATACATACATACAAGTATGTATGTATGCATGTATGCATGTATGTATGTATGTATGTATGTACGCACGTGTGGCTGTATACGACCCAGACCCACAGACCACAAAGCTCATTTTGTCCTGACTCCTGAGTAACGTTCTTCTCGATTAGAGAACAAAAAGAAGAAATCATTCATGCAATGCAATGTATCGATCTCCTAATATTATTGGACTAATTATTTACTAAATTAAAAAAATTTATTTTGCAAAATTTAATTACTAAATTTCAAATTACATTCTGGTATTTAATAATTTATGGCTGCTTATGGTATAAAATCAATCACACATTGAAAAAGTAATTAAACAGTAATTAATTAAACAAAATTAACAACAGTCAAATATTATCATGGAACAAAGTGTTGGTTTACCAATTATTTTTAGTAATGTTGTATATAAATTAAAGTTGTGCTCATAGTATTTATTAAATTGTCGCAATCCAAAAAAAAAGGAAGAAAAGAAACGAAACGTTAGTGCAAATTAAGTTCACAAATTTTGATCAAGCTCAAAAGAATATAATATAATTAGGGATAATTCCATTTAAAACCCTGTACTTTTCTCTCGTCGCAATTTAAACCCTATACTTTTTTTGATATAAAAAAACATTGTACTTTTAAAAATTGGAAATTAAAACTCTATACTTTTAAAATTGGCAAATAAAACCCTGAACGAAAAAATATATTATTTAATGCTGACATGGCATCCTAGTCATCTGCCACATCATCAATCCCTAATTAGGATGCCATGTCAGCATTAAATAATATATTTTTTCGTTCAGGGTTTTATTTGCCAATTTTAAAAGTATAGAGTTTTAATTTCCAATTTTTAAAAGTACAATGTTTTTTTATATCAAAAAAAGTATAGGGTTTAAATTGCGACGAGAGAAAAGTACAGGGTTTTAAATGGAATTATCCCTAATTATATTATATTCTTTTGAGCTTGATCAAAATTTGTGAACTTAATTTGCACTAACGTTTCGTTTCTTTTCTTCCTTTTTTTTTGGATTGCGACAATTTAATAAATACTATGAGCACAACTTTAATTTATATACAACATTACTAAAAATAATTGGTAAACCAACACTTTGTTCCATGATAATATTTGACTGTTGTTAATTTTGTTTAATTAATTACTGTTTAATTACTTTTTCAATGTGTGATTGATTTTATACCATAAGCAGCCATAAATTATTAAATACCAGAATGTAATTTGAAATTTAGTAATTAAATTTTGCAAAATAAATTTTTTTAATTTAGTAAATAATTAGTCCAATAATATTAGGAGATCGATACATTGCATTGCATGAATGATTTCTTCTTTTTGTTCTCTAATCGAGAAGAACGTTACTCAGGAGTCAGGACAAAATGAGCTTTGTGGTCTGTGGGTCTGGGTCGTATACAGCCACACGTGCGTACATACATACATACATACATACATGCATACATGCATACATGCATACATACATACATGCATACATGCATACATACATACTTGTATGTATGTATATACATACATACGATGCATGCATGTATATACATACATACATGCATGCATACATGCATGCATACATACATCAAAAGTTATACAAATAAAAATCGGAGATGGCCATTCTATTTTTTTAAGATTCCAAATATTTAACTTTACATCTAAAAAGTTTAGAAATATACTTAACCTTATTCGACGTAATTTTTTAAATTAAAAGAAGTCAATCGTATCGGATTAGATATACAAATAATTAAAAATGATTTAAAAAAAAGGGAGAAATCGCCAAAAACCACTATATACTCTTTTAAAAAGATATCGAAAAAATCTTATATTTTTTTCTTACCAATTAAATCCTATATTTAGTGTGATTAACCCATAAAATCCCAAATTTTTTAAAAATTTACCGAAAACCCTCCACGTCTGGCAATTCAAACAAAATGATGATATGACAAAGATATGGCTTCCAAATCATACACATATCATCATAATTATGTCACATTATCATTTTAAATAAAATTTAAATTAAATAATTTATTTAAATTAATATATATTCATATAAATTCACATATATATATATATATATTAAAAATGAAATTATTTATAATTATTAAAGCGCATATACACATAACTACAACATATATACATATATATTATAACTAATACATATATATATATATATTAAAATAAAAGTAATTATTATTAATTATATGTATACATAATATACATATTAAAATAAAAATAATAATAACTAACATATATACATATAATATATATTAAAAATAACATGTACATATATATATTAGTTATACATACAACATATACATATACAACTAATATACATATTAAAATAAAAGTAATTATAACTAACATATATACATATAATATATTTTAAAAATAAT